TCTTTCGGCTGATGATATCTTTGATCTTTTTTACTGACAAGAAATCGGCAACCCAATAGACGATTGGGATCTCTTCCTTCCTTCGGTTTGAGTATCACACTTAACATCCCTAGATGATTGACTTCCTGCAAGATTTCGCATATCCTCATAAAAAAAAGAGTCTAATTGCCCATCAAAATATCAATACTTTCGGGTACATTAGTGAAACGAAAACCATCGGTCTAATGGAAAAGCTCTTACTACCCTTGGATATTCCATTTAAGATTTTCGGATCCATGTTTAAATGAATAAAAAAACGAGATGGCGAACACCATTTTCTTGAAGTTCTAATCAAACTTTTATCGTTTCACCTAAAATAATTCCAAAACATAAAACGCATCTTGTCATTTTCTAGCAATTGATATATGATGTAGAAAATAATATTTTAATCTTTAAATAAGATGAAGTGTACATAGATGTCTGATAAAAGATCAAAAATTAAATTTAGTCTATAAACTTTATTTAATGTCGCCACATGCATTCAATGTCTTTTTTTTTTTTTTTTTTTTTTCTTTTTATTTTATAATTTCATGGTGGTGTCCATTGAAACCAAATTCACACCCCGACGAAGGAGGTTGGCAATTACCAGTAAGAAAGCAAATAACCAAAGTCAAGACCTTGACATCCTTATAACACAAATTAGAAAATGACAGGCAATGAGTACGCCCCACTAACATCAGTGTGTCGCACGTTAACTTTTAGTTTTTGGTCGTCACCGATTGCATCACAGCAACGGTCTTTTTATATCCACTTTACACAACAACAATTGTTTCATCACAAACCAAACGCATTAGCACTTGTATTTTCTTTTTGTTGTTTGAGATAGGTAGATTCTTTTCATTTTGTCTTTAAAAAAGTTACAAAGAAGATTCCTTACGGATATTGATGAGTCAATTTTATATTATATTTTATCTTATTCTTAGTATGTATTGGTAATTATTTTGGTAGAATTTTGATACTTTACTTTGTATTTTCAATATAAGACATTCAACTTCTTCTGGAGCAAAATATGACCAAACGGACAAATTTTAGAGTGATTCAAATTGGAAGACGTTCGTGTGTCTCTTAGCGTGTTCGTGTCAAAATTTCGGTTATTTCTACCAAACGGTTATTTTCTGGCGACGGAATAAAGAAGCAATGTGCGTTGTTGAAAAGTGACGTTTCTGGGCTTAATTGCAATTTTTGGAGCCCAAGATGACCTCTGATGGATTTGTGGCTTTCTGGAGAACTTTACTATTTAATTTTAGGATTATGTTTCCTATTTTATTTTAATTTATTTTGGTTTCCTAGTCTGATTGGAAGACCTTTTTTCTAGGTGAATCGAATTATAGCAGTTTAAATAAGCTTGGCTGAGCTTAAAAATTTTCATACTTTTACATTCAAGATGTTTTCGATCTTTTATTATTTCAATACGATTCCTTTTGATTTGAATTATGAATATAGTTAACTAATCTCTTTTGCTAGGGTGAGGCCATGAGCTTAGCAAGAATATGTAGGGGGTGTATTCAATTGGGATTTTGAGGGATTTTAATTCTTTTAATGAATCTTGGGGTATTCAATCAAGATTTTAAGTGATTCTCTGAAATTCAACGTGTGTTCAATCGGAATTTTAAGATAGTTTATTAAAATCCTTATAAATCTGGGTGTATTCAATTAGGATTTTAAAGAAGTTTATAACATTTCAGGTGTATTCAATTATAATTTGATTTTAAAGAATTTTAAAACGTTGAGGAATAAGAGGGAATTTGAGAGATTTTGTAGTGTAATTTAAACAACCACAAATCTCACATCTCCTCATGAGATTTTCGAGGGAATTGAATCAAAATTTTACATAGAATCTCTACAAATCAATTAAACTCCATAAAAATTCATGGATTTATAAATCCATTAAAATCTCTCCAATCCCAATTGAATACACCCCCCCGGTAGTTTATTTTCAATTTGCTTATGATAATATGCATGCAGGTTTTTGAGTTATTAATCACTGGTTTAAACTATTGATATAGGTCATAAGTATCTTGATGATTCGCGGCCATTATGATGTTTAGAAAAGTAATTTGATGCAATTTTGGTCGGAGGTAGGTCCCTGAAATTGACGAAGGCTTCTTGTGGTTAATATGTGCAAGTTCACTTAGGATGAATACCACGTCTTAAGGGTTAGATTGTTTTTTAGAGGGTTTTCACAAAACATAATGCATGTCTGGATTTGATCTGAATACTACAAACAGATTGCACGTTTGATATATGCTCTATATTGGGGGTCCAAGTAGGCATATTAGGAAAATCTAACCTTCAAAATATGCATGTATAGGTCATAACTAATTGAGAGAACCATATATGATTGTTAAAGTGACGGCGAAACCCTAGTGCTTATTCAATTTGATTTCTAAAAACTTTTTCTCTCTTTCTTTTACTATTGTAGATTTTTCTACTCTTTAAAATTAAATTCGTTTTTATTAAATTATGTTATAAAACCAATTATACCAAAACTTTGCCTTTAAATAATTAATTGAGATTTGAGTTGATACAAATTATTTAATAATCCTTGTGAAGAACGACTGTGGTAGAACCATTTATACTACAATATCCTTATTATTCTTGCAAGTATTATAGGTGTTTTTAACCCTTTTGTGTGTGTGGTAAAAATCTTATCATATATTAAACTATACATATCAAAAATTTTGAAGTACAACTTCCCTAGAAAAATTACGGATGAGGAAAAATCCTCACTTTTATCCATTCATCGTATATGGTTAGTTTTTTTTAGGTACTGTTTGTATTTAATTTTAAATAAAAAAATTCAAAATGATTTATGGGAGTACGATGTATGATAAACAGATAAAATGTAAGGATCCTAGGATCCTCACAAAGAGAATCCAAATGGGATCCAAACCCGAACAGATACATGCATGATCAATATTAATGATCTAAATTAGCAAATCAATCTGCTGCCATAGTATGTTGGAATTGATACGTAGATAAAATTACATATAAGCTTTCCTCCACAATTGTAAAATTAACAGAAACCAATGTTATTGTTTTATAGCAAAATAGAAATATATATAGAATATTGAACTGTCTCGGAAACTTCATCAGCGACAAGCAACGAGCAAACCAATTTCGTCTTTGCCACTCAACACGCCATAGAAGATTATCAGCCAACAGTCAACTAGGAAAAAGCAAGACGCCTGCTTCTTCCCCAAGAAAGCACAAACCTTCTATAAATATACTAGCTATCACCCGTCAATTACAATTTTCCCCATTTCTTCCCCAGGTTCAACACAAAAAAAAGAAACTTTACGGCATGTCGGCGGTAGGCTATGGTTTTGCTGAAGCATACGTGCTGAGGGACCTCCACAAGAGGAAGCTGAAGATGGAAAAAGAAGAAAGAACCAAGCTTGGCAGGCCGGAGTCGGAATCAGAAATGGCAAAGTCGTCAAGCGGTTGTTTCTTCTGCCCGGTGTTGAAAAAAGTCCATCCAACATTTGTTCCAAGGACTCGTTCAGCTGAAACTGAAGAAGATAGAACTTTGAACCACAAAGATTAAGGAAACTGAAGAAAACAAGACACAGCTAAAGAACGAAGCCCCGGGGAAACACCAAGGCATATTGTAGCCAAGGTGTCTGCAATAAAGTTAGCACGAAACGCATGCTGGAAGGAGACGGTGAAGTCCAGTTTCTTGTGCGCTGTACGAGAGCTTTCCGTAATTCCTACTTAATTTGTTTATTAGTCTATGATGAAATTGTTATTGTTGGCCTGAAACGCTTTTGTTAGTGATGCTGCAATAAAACGCACGAATGGCGCGCTAGCTAGCTATTTCCACGAAAACCCTACAAACCCTACAAATTCATATTCGTTAGTGGCACATCCTCCGTGCACACCTCCGTAGCGAACTATAAAACGTTTGTCTAGACGCTCCTTAAATATGGTTAGAGGAAGTTTGTGATCAATAACAAAATCACCATTATTACTACTAGTGTACTGCTATGGTCGTTGAACGGACCGAAACCAATATAAAGAAGCTCGTCGTTGTCTCCTGGAAAATATAGCACGCCATTGAATGCAACGGAGAGCTCCCCAAGTTCATCAAAATCAAAGACCTCCACGCTTAATTTGAAGGAATCACATTTCTCACCATTCCCAGATTCGTAGGGAGGAAGAATTCTCAACACCTTGCAACTACACTCGGCATCACGTTAGAGTGCGCCAACATTGGACACAGACTTGCATTGGAAAACAAATTTGTTGCTTGGAAGTCGCCAAAGGATTTCAACCAATACAACATCAGCCAAAATTTAACCTCGTTCGTGGAGAGGCAAACCTAGCAGCACACAGGCTTGCTCGTGCAGGACTTGGACAGCAACAGGAGGTGTCGTGCATGGTTCGAGGGACCACCGGATTTAATCACAGATATTTTGTTTGAGGATAGCTCCATTCGGTTTGCATTGCTATTTGATTGCATTTTCTTTGAGGATAGTTTAACTTTTCAAGTTGCTTGTGCGGGTCGTTCTTTTTCCCTTCGACTGGGTTAAAACCTCTAACAAGATTTTTATCGAGACCCATTTGTGCACTCTATCCTCAAATATGTACGTATTCCCTTTCGAATATATTGCAAACAAAAACAAACACTTGATTAATTTTCAAACTTATCAAAATAATATGTAGTGCTCTTGCTCAAGTGTATGTGCTCAAACTTTTCAAAATTTTCAAACACAAGAAGAAGCTCAAGATGGAAGAAGAAGAAGAAAGAGGCAAGTCAAAATCCAAAAATACTTAAATAGTGCCAGCCTAAAGGTTGTTTCTTGTGCGCGTTGAAGAAAGTCCATCCGAGCAATGTTCGAAGAGTTCGTTCAGCTGCAATGGCAGAAGTTGGAAACGATAAAGTTTGATCAATCGTACTCCGTCCGAGCAATTTTCAGAGGTTTAATACTGTAATTTGGTATGCTACCAGGTTATTGTTTTCCCTATTTACTCCTTTACTGTATTTTAGCATGAAAAAATTGTTACAGTAAAGTTTGAAATTGTTATATTCCTAAAAGCCGTTGAATGACCATCTAAGTGTACAGTTACGAATTTTCTGCAGAACAAGTCGTTTAGAAATTGCTTGGATGGATTTTTCCTAACACCAGAAAGAAACAACCTAGATTTTACCATTTTGCATTCAGCCGTGCCGAGCTTGGCTCTTTCTTGTTTTTCCATCTTCAGCTTCTTCCAATGGAGGTCTCTCGGCACATATGCTTCAGCTAGATCATAACCAACAGCGGACATGTCCGGAATTTAATATTTTTGAATCAACAGAAAGTTTCGCATAAAAAGTGTAAGAGCAAAAACTAGAAACCAATCAGAAGCCACTCACAGACAGGTTAGAAGACTTTGACGAAAAAGATAAAAAAAAAAACAAGATCAAGAAGACTGTCCTGAACAGCATTCCAAAAGGGACATTTGTCACTTAATTTGATATATATTTGCATCAACTTACACTAAGGAATGCGAAGACGATATTCAAATTAAATTACTCTAACAAAGAAACTTACCCAGACAGAAACAAGACAGCTTGCCAGAGGCCACCAAAAGAGGGTTGTCCAAGGGAGCAGCCAAAACACCCAAAATTAGCTTGGAGGATAGGGAAGGCCGTCCTTGAGCAAAAACCAGGGAAATTGGTGGTCTATCGACCCAACTTTGACGTTCCACAATCCTCAAAGCAAGCAAGGCAACATGGTGAGCCTCACCATTTGCCTTGTGAGTAGACCACTTCCAATGTAGGTCTTCAAAATTGATCTTCTTCGATCTTATTTCCAACAAGAGTGGATAGATTTCCCAAGCACCCTTTTCTATGTCACCCTTCAAGCACTTAATCGAAGCACTCTCCACCATCACTTTTGTGAAGCCTGAGCTTGCAGCTAGATCCAATCCTTTAATAACCACAGCTCTTTCAGCCATAAGAGCAGAGGAACACTTATAGAACAGCCAGAGCACCTCTGAATGTGTCTAACCTGTCATGAATAACAATCCCCAGCCCCGCCTCCAATGAAATACACCAGGCCCCTTCAGTGATCACCTTAACAAAATTATGAATTGGAGGGCACCATACCTCATTGGCAAGGTCAAAATAAGAAGCTCCTGGACTCTTATATAGTTTAGCCTTCCAGATATCCCAACAGGTGATACCTGCAAGAGAAAGAAAGGTGTCGAGATTTTCTCCCCTTGTCCACCTAGAAATTTTGTATGAAAACCAAAGGTTAAGAGATGAAACATCTTCATTAAGTCTCCTGTAATTTAGAGCAGTGCCAAACCAAATGCCTTTAACCCATGTGCATAAATTCCATGCAAATTGGACATAGGAAATTCACGGCAATATGTCTTCTAAACAGATTCCTTCTTGTAGGAAAAGCACTAAAAAGGCAGGCCACATGAAGTTCAGAATATGGGGGGTGGCTTTCATCTTCCAAATGGCGCTATCAACAATGTGGGAATGGAGGTGGGCAGGGAACTGAAGCATTTCTGATCTTTTGTCTTTGAAGCCAGTGATAGCCTGATCCTACGGAATAGATACCATTCACCTTCCAAGGCCAAATTAAATAATCACCACCAGTAGCAGAACCTATGGGAAGAAGTAGGATTTTATCACCTCTTGAGAAACAAAGGGGCACAAGCAAATCTGTCCACCACACTCTACTCTCTCTGTCCATAATGTCTGCCACTTTCCTTCGAGTTGAGGGAGAAAGGGCTGTTGTTGTGTTCCTCCTCAACCTGAGATTGCTCCATAGTACTCCTCCTGCAGCTCCATTCCAAATGTGTTGTCATTTGAAACGACGCAGAGTTCGACTTTACTCTGGTACTTCCGTGTTCATCTGTCAAGTGCAACACAACCTTTACCAAGAAAAAATAACCATACACAGAAAAACATTCAAGCCAAAAGACCAGCGGGTGCCATCTAGCAGTTCTCATCAGCACCGATGAGGAACAATTAATGGATGCCAGTTTAGCACTCGAAGCCTCCTCTTCATCCTCACCCCTCCTCAAATGATTACATCAGTTTCCATGCAGCTTTTTGCAATTTCGAGGTTGTAATGGAATTACATCCTGAGACCAGCGAAACATGAACCTTTCTTTGAAGTCCGTTTAAGCAATCTTCCCCTGCTTCAGTTTCTTCTTCTACATTGCTTTCTATACTTGGATCAGACCTTCGTATTGCTGCCCTGTCTTCATTTTATTCACTTGAATATGGCAAGGAGATGGATTCACAGCCAAACAAATACTCATTAACTAGTTTTTCCCCTTCCAAACTAACCCTATTTCTTCACGCTGATGAATATCATGAGCACTCCCTGCTCTTTCCAAGTGCACACCAACAATTATCTTGAAGCCACCTTTCACATTAAGCTTGTCGTTTGATAGATGTCCCGGCCAAAGTTAGTCATATGGGAAGCAACCATGGTCACTTGCATTGCACAGATGATAAATTCACTCTGCTAGGTACAATTCACAGCATGAAATGTGAAGATAATCATCAGATTGGGAGTTATCTTATCAGACGAGTAAATGATGCACACAGTCAGCGCCTTCAAATCACAACCAAAACCTGGCGGCACAACTAATTCATCCGTATGGTCGACCGCCCTAAATCATGAAGGAAAACATTTCCATGATTAAAAAAGGCAACCATTTCCGCTCACACATTTCTAATACACGTGGAGCAACATTTGTACATACATTTATAAATCATGACAGAAAATTGGTAATGGTGGTTTGGAGTCTTTGGACATGTGAAATGAAGGCCTACAGAAGCTCCGGTTAGAAGATGCGATTACGAGACAGAGGTTCAGGGCCCAAGGAGTAGAGGAAGACCTAGGAAAACTTTGAAAGAGACTCTAAGAAAAGACTTGGAGTACTTGAATCTAACGGAAGACGTGGCACAGAACCAAACGCAATGGCATTCTAGGATTCATACAGCCGACTCCCCTTAGTGGATAAGGCCTTGTTGTTGTTGTATTTATGTGCAAATAAAGGAGAGGGAGGGAGAGAGAGAGACGGGAGCTGCAGGATTATTTCCTTACAAGCAGCAGTGAGATTGGTGCACCCTTCCATATGAATCCTTGTCATGATGTTTGACAACTTATCCAAGCCTGGAATCTCAGTGAGTTTGGGGGAGTGATTCAGATGCAATTCCCTCATACTCGACAGATCTGAAAAATCTGGCATTTTTTCCAATGCAATGCACTCATCTGCCTCCAGGATTTCCAATTTTTTTGGTAAATCTGGGATCACCCGAAGGTTTGTACAATTATTCAATTGTAAAGTTTGAAGCTTGGAAAGGCTGCTGAGGTTAGGTAGCCCATAAAAACAATTGCCTCTTATGTCTAAAACGTCTAAAGAAGATAGACCCCCAAGATCCTTAGGAAGTGCATCATCTCTTAGATTGCAGTTCGCAAGGGATAAATACTTAAGGTTCTTCAGTTGTACTATGGAAGGGTGAACCTCGGAAAAACTCTGGCAGTCATTAAGTAACAGTTTCTCGAGATTTGGGAGTTCTGAAAAGTTTGGAGATCTTTTCAGGTGATGGCAATACCCAAGATTAAGAAACTTCAACTTCTCAAGCCGCTGTCAGATAAAAGGAAAACATAAATCAAAATACAAATATAAGTGAGAGAGCATGATGTTATTACTTACAAAAAATAAAATAAAAAATCAGTGATTTGGTTGAGAGTATACTATACCATGTTGGAATCATTCCAAACTTGTATTTTGCTATGACTCAGGTCGACATCAACTAGGTATTTAGTAAAATCATTTGGTATGACCCCTTGAGGAAACTCAGGCCAGCACAACCATCTTAACTTTTTGGAAATATGTTTGCAGTTTCCTTTGAACTTTACTCCTTTGAGTTTGAGCAACCTGAGTCTCTGCATCTCTTTAAATGCTTCTGTACTGAAGTTAGCCTTGTCAGGTTCTTGCAAATCTAACACGAGTCCTTCAACGAACTCTGTTCCCTTTTAAAAGAAAACAAATAATAAGGAAATAAGAAAGGATGAATGTAACTAATTAAGAAAAGGTTTCTTTGCATAATTTATAAGTATACAGCAAAGCCATATAGTTGTATTTCGACTTCATCTCTCTTTCCATTCAACCTGTAGTTTCGTTCAAATCAATGCATATCATAGTGTATATTGTTCAACATCCAGGGCCTACAATTCATTACAGTTGGGATATGTATACCATGCACTTGATATAATTTGATAGCGAATGTACTTACAGATTTGCTCCTCAACACGTCTTTTACATCTTCTTGATCCCACAATCTACAACGTTTTCCAAGGATGTTAGGGGATTTTGCACGTACGATTTGTCTGCCCATATCTCGAAGCAAATCATGCATTACCAGGTTGTTTCCTTCATCAACAGTTACAAGGCCTCGATCACGGAGTTCTCCGATTCCTATTTCTGGATCAAAGTTACAGCCATCCAATATTGCCATGACATGTTCCTTGTTCATTCCAATAAAGAAACAAGATATATCAAGGAATATATCCTTCACGCCATCATCAATTAGCCCATCGTAGCTTATTTTAAGCTTTTCATGAATTGGCATATGAGGATGTCTTTTCAATTTACGCAATGCACTTCTCCATTCACTTTTGAGTTTCGTACATAAATAAGAACCTAATACTTCAAGTGCTAGTGGCAAACCTCCGCAGTAATCGACAACTTTGCTCGACAGTTCAAGATATTCTTCATCAGCAGGATAACTCTCCGAAAAGGCATGGCAACAAAAGAGCTTAAGAGCTTCTTCTTTATTCATTATTTGTGCGGTACATGTCTTATCCACTTCAAGTATCTTTAGCAAGTGTTCGTCTCTTGTTATTATAATAATTCTACTCCCTGGACCAAACGTGTCACGATTTATAGCCAACTCATGTAATTGTTTCACACAATCTACGTCATCAATTATGACAAGCACCCTCATGAGGCCAAGTCTTCTTTCTATCTCCTTAGTCCCCTGATCGACACTACTTACCTCTACATTAGCTGGTTTCAAGATATCACTAAGAAGCTTGTTTTGCAATTTAACCATATCCTCTTCCCTCACTTTTGAAAGGAAACAGCTACCTTCAAACATTTGATGAACTCTGTGGAAAATGGCTTTTGCAACCGTTGTCTTGCCCGTCCCAACCATACCCAAAATTCCAATAATGCGAACATTATTTGATCCTCCGACATCTAACTCGTTACTGATAAGTTGCACGCGAGAATCTATGCCAATTTGGTTCATGGATACATCTGGATATGTGCTGTTCAGAAACTTCAGTCTTCGAGTGATGTCGTCGACAACTTTCCTTATAAACTTTCCTTCGTACCTAGCAGTTAAAATACAAAATTAAACAAAAGTAAGACTCATATATAACTGCAGGATTCAACTCAAGTAACGGTTTTTGGGATCAAATAAGATTTTAATTTTTAATTAAATACATTGTTCAACTTCTGGCGAATTATGTTGTGTTTGAACCATAAATTTTCAAGCATGACCCTAGTAAATTAAGGGTGGTGTGCCTTAAAAAAGAAAGAGGGGCGTGGCAAATAAAAAAATCGAAATGAAGATATCTACAATACACAAGCAGGCTCTAGATGAGTTTGTCGTTGAAGTACTCCCTATCAGGAGGAGGAGTAATAGCTCTTCTCAACTACTCCACTTCACCATGAAATACGAAGTAACCAATGCTCACCCTTGGTCTATAGAAGGGGTCAAGGCCAAGGAGAAGAAAAAAAGGCACAGATGGCAGAAAAAACATTTGAGAGAGAACAAAATACTGCAAAAGTTCATAGTGAGTTCAGAGAGAAAGAGCAACAGGGTGCTAAAGAAATCATTAGAGAAGAGAAGAAGACAAGAGTTTCAGACGTGAAAAATCCCCAGCCGGCCGAGAGAGAATAGCAAACCATAGGCACAAAAAAGGTATAAAACCCATGTTGTCACTTCTGTGCTTCCTTCATCTTCTTTTCTGTACAACTTTGCAGGTAAGTCTGGTTATGAATAAATCATAAATCAGCACCAAATTGTCATAAGACAACAAGTTTTGTATCTCTTTTGTGCCATAAACATTATGAAGTGGCAGTCGTAAAGAAGAAGAGTGAAGTTCATGTTCCTTCAAAAAGATGCAGAAGATGAAGAAGGAATTTTCTGAAGCCAAACACATTAAGAAATTGCTGTCAATAGCATCTCTGGCCACCACTCATATTCCTTTTCCGTCAAAAGGAGGTTGCTGATCACATCCCTTTTTCGTCAAAAAATGTTGCTGAACAATTACTCTCTGATCAAAAAGAAGAGGAGAAGCTGCTGGCTAGAAAAAGGTGTGGAGACGAAGACTGCACAAAAGTGACAGTCACAAGACTTCTCCACTGTGCTAAGTGTGCCAAAGAATGGTGTAGTTGCTGTTACTGACAGAAAAGAAGGCTGCAAAAAGGTGTCCGCAAGACCCTTCTGTTGTGCATACGGTCCAAATTGCTGATGGAGTAGAAGGCTGCACACAAGAGGTGTCCACAAGGCTCGTCAACTGTGCAAAGTGTACCTAAATGGGTACAGCTGCTGTCAGTTGTCAAGTTTCTAGCTGAAAACGAAGACAAAGCCCATGAAAAAGAGATGTCTCAAAGACCCCTCTCTCATATGCAACTCGCATATGAACACCCGCAAGGTCTTTATGTCATTCCACCCGCCCATAGAACACCATCAAGGTCGTTTACGAGCACCAAAGACAGAGAAAAGCAAGGAGTAAAAAGTAACAAAGACGGAAAAGACCAATTAGCAAGTAATTGGTACAAGACTCATACAGCAAAGGAAACTACAAAATCTAAGTTCATTGCACCAGTCTTTCCAACAAAATCACAAAGATTCTACGTCGGAAAGTATGAAAATTTGAGTTGATTCAAAAAGGAAGACTTAGATGAAAAGCAAGCCCTTTTGGCTAAAGAAGATATTTGAGGTTTTCAAGTCCTTTTTGCTGCTCAAGTGCTCAGCCTAGAGCTCCCCTGGAAACCCCAAACCAAATGATTCCAAGAACTACGACTGGCTTGGTCCCTCAAAAAGAGTATATAGGCAATCTAAGGCTCGACCTAGGTGCCGCAAAATCAAACAAACCCCAAGTACAATTTATTCATATTGGAAACAAAGGGAGTTTCCTTTTTAACAAAGGATTGGAATTGATAGACACTTTGTCCTGATTTGGTAGTACTCAAAATAATAAAATCCTTCTACAAATTAACGTGGGTGAAGTTATGTCGAGTGAATTATTTGTTACGCTACAATTTTTGCTCAACATGTTGATCCATGCGAATGCAGTTAGCTCAATTCCCCACACTGATAGTTAGCTCAAAGCATTTGTAGAGTCTCAAACATATCAGGGTTTCTAAGCTTTGCGTTACAATATGTGAAATGAAAGATTCTGAGCCCTACTTGAGAAGCCAACACATGACATTTCGTAAGCTGATCACATTCAAATATCGACTACATAGCGATCAATTATTGATTAGTTCAGCATTTGAAATTTAAAAAGTAGATTTTGCAAGGAATTAACAATTAAGTGATTACCCATCAGCGTTTCTAAGATTCCCACCAGCCAAATTTGCAGCTAGAGTGAAAGCCGATCTCCACCTCTGCACCGTATCGCCATCGAAGCACTCTTCATGCTTCTCAAATGCCGTGGCAAAACTACCAGTCTGGTGCCTAACTTCGGAAGGATCAACATCGTAGAAAATAGGCAAAACAGTTTGACCCATTGTTTCTCTACATTCCACGATCTTCTCCAGCTCCTCAAGACACCATCTCGAATCCGCGTACCGCTTCGAGAAGACAACGACGGCGATCCTGGACCGTTTGATCGCTTCCACTAGCTCGTCTGTTATATTTTCCCCTCGTCGTAGTTCGTTCTCGTCGATGAAGACGTTGACCTTGTTGTCTTTTAATGTCCAGTAGAGGTTGTCGGTGAAGGTCTTGCGCGTGTCTTCACCTCTGAAGCTCAAGAACACGTCGTGCTTCCATTGTTTTGGGGAGGAGGAGGAGGCTGCGACGGCTGCCCTGGCATCCATTAAATCAATCCTATTCCGCCGGCGGAGGTTGTGTTTTTGGCCAAATGATGGGTAGAAAAATACATACCCAAATCAAGTCAACTCAGCTCGTTTTATTTGACTCGCTCACTGTCCACCAAACGGAAAAGAAACGTCCGTTTGCTTCACGAATTAAATTTCAATTTTTTCTTTATCTTATGGGAAATTTATAGCAATAGTCATCCAATTTTAACTAACTGAAATAATGATTTCTCAACTTCTTAATTGATTATAACGTGCAATTATGGTTTTTTTCATCAACTTCATTCGAATTCTATAAAAATGACTCATACGTTGGAACAATCATTGCTACAATGTGTTAAAGTTGATGAACTATTTCTCTAATTGTGTTAAATTCGAGAACCATTCCTACAAACTTTTTTGATTTGATTTTTCATATTTACCCCTGACTGGCATTTTAAACCCGATCCGTTAACCTGACCCAACCCTTTAAAATTAGTATTCGAGTGAGTATTTAATGGGTCGGGTTATTAACAGGTCATTTTGGGTCAACCCCGCAAAACTTGTTAACACCCGTTGTTGAGGGCTTTTGTGTAATTTCAGTAGTTATAATAGGAAGCCCTCAAACTCTATCTTTGCCACTTCAAGAAGGTCGCCGATATGCTCCAGGACTACATTCCCGGGTCAAATGGCAACAGACGACTCTTCCTCCTCCTCTGGTGGTTCTAACACTTTGTCTCAGTTGCTTTAGCGAGAGCGAGTCAAGCTTCTCTCCTCCAACAGCAGCAACTCGTCATCTAGCTTGCCGGATTGGGATCCTTCCTTCAAGTGCTTCTTTGTCTCAGACTTGAAGAAGAAGGTCATGGCAGGGCTCTGTCAAATGGCGAAAAGGATGGACAATGGAGGTAACTGTCAAAATGGATCGATTCCATTGGTTTTGCATATTGGGGATGGACATAAATGCACTGCCAACTATTGAAAATGAAATCTAAATGTGAGATCTTGTTTGTACGTGTAATTTGATTTGGAATGCAAAATTAAACAAAAAACAAAAACAAAAAAAAATCTTAATGGATGTTAACGGGTGAAAGGGATGAAATGGGGTGACCAATGAGTTTAACGGGTTGGATTCGGGGTGACGGATTGGGTTTGGGTGACCCATTAACTTAACGGGTCAGGTTTTACCTGATCAAAAGCCAATAAACCCGACCTGTTTACAGATCTATGTGCGAGGCATATGACTTATTTTGATAAAAATTTTAATTAAATTTTAACTAAGTTAACAAAAAGAAGTATAAATGCATGTTTTAATGAGTTAAGAAATTAATGTTCTAGGTAATAAGCTATTGCTCAAATTAAGTTAAAGGGTAAATTACACTTTCATACCTCAGGTTTGGGGTCTATTTCAATTCCTTACAACATCTTCAAAACATTTCACTTTCATACCTGAAGTACTATTTTATTTCAAAATAATACATCCGTTACATTTTCCATTTATTGATCCGTTAAATGCTGACATGGCTGCCACATATATGCCACATGGCTGCCAAATGTCTACCACGTGGCAAAAAAATAATAATTTTTTAATTTTTTTTTTAACCCTAAATCTTCTAAATATAAAAAATAATTAAAAAAGAAAGGCTGAAATAAACACCGCATCAACCCCCCAAACCAAAACCTAGAAACCCAATTAAACCCCCCCCCAAAACCAGAAACCCAAAAAAAATAACACCCGCCCGCTCATGGCCCTCCCTGCGCACCCCCCCATCCTGCAACCTTCCCTCCCTCCGCACCCACCCAACCCGCAACCTTCCCTCCCTCCGCACCCACCTTCGCACCAACCCTCTTCCCTACTCTACACACCCCTCACTCTCCTCTACACACCCCTCACTCCTTAAATCCACACCCATTCCACGAATGGCGATGGCGAGACAGGATCTGGATTTTTTTTTTTTTCTGGGTTGCAGGTAGGGGGTAGGGGGAAGAAGATGAAGATGGGGGAGAAGAGAGGGGAAGATTTGAGGAGGGGGGAAGACGAACTGAAGGGTTTTTTATTTATTTATTTTTTTTTTCTAGGTTGCAGGGAAGAAGATGAAGATGGGGGGAGGGGGGAAGACGAACTGAACGGTTTTTTTTTTTTTTCCTAGGTTGCGGGGAAGAAGGTGAAGATGAGGAGATGGGTTGCGGGGAGAAGAGAGGAGGATGAGGAGGATAAGGTTTCGGTTTTTTTTTTTTTTTAATTTAAATATTTAGAAGATTTAGGTTTGAAAAAATTTAAAAAAAAAAAAAAATTTTGCCACTTGGCAGACATTTGGCAGCCACGTGACATATATGTGGCAGCCACGTTAGCATTTAACGGATCAATGGATGGAAAATGTAACGAAGGTATTATTTTGAAATAAAATAATACTTAAGGTATGAAAGTGAAATATTTCAAAGATGATGTAAAGAATTGAAATAGATCCAAACTTTAAGGTATGAAAGTGTGAGTTACCTTAAGTTAAAAGTTGAACAATTTTCTTTTATTTTAATCCGTCGATCCAGTTTGACCCGCAAGTATAGATGCTTGCTCCTCTCTGTCGGTCTCTCCGTCTCCTCCCTCCCTCTTTCTTTCTCCTTTTCTTCCTCCCTCCCACAAATTCTCTTCTCTATGCACCTTAAAGCTCACGTCTTTGCTCCAATTAACAAAAACCATGGATCCGACGTCGAAGTCCCCACCACCCGAATCCCGCTCCGGAGACCGGAACCCGGCTTCGAATGAGATCCGATTCAGAGGTGTCCGGAAGAGGCCTTGGGGAGGCTACGCCGCCGAGATCAGAGATCCTGGGAAAAAAAGCCGCGTCTGGCTCGGGACCTTTGACAGCGCTGAAGAGGCAGCGCGCGCGTACGATAGCGCGGCGCGTGAGCTCCGCGGAGCCAAGGCGAAGACCAACTTTCCCGCCTCCGCTGAGAACCTGCTCGAGAGGCCGAGTGGTAGCAAAAGGATCGTACAGGTGCAACAACAATCAACGGATACCAGTACCGTTACATCCCTCGGACCTCCCCCGCCTTCCCTCTCCGCCACCTCCACCACCACCTCCTCCTCGTCCTCCTCCTCATCCTCAATAGAAGATGAGATTTACGACGTATTCTTGAGCTTTAGCGGTGAAGACACACGCAAAACCTTCACGGACCACCTGTATTGGACATTGAAAGCCGCCAGAGTCGACGCCTTTATCGAAGAGAAGGAATCAACGAGAGGAGGGGAAGAAAAAGTATCAGAGAAAGTGAAGCAAGCAATCCAAGGGTCCAAGATGGCTGTGATCATCTTCTCAAGGAGGTATGCTGATTCCACCCGGTGTCTTGAGGAGTTGGTGGAGATCATGGAGTGCAAAAGAACACTACGGCTAATGGTTTTGCCAATATTCTACGACGTTGATCCTTCAGATGTGAAGAACCAATCTGGGATTTTTGCAGAGGCATTTGAGAAACACGAAGATCATAAGGAAGAAAAACTAGGGCGGTGGAGAAAGGCTGCTTCTGAAGCTGCAGACTTAGCCGGTGAGGTTTTTACAAAGACTGACGGGTAATTATTTACTTGTATGAATGTTTTTCATGAATTTTACAAAATTATCATCGGAATCCACGGTTTTGATTTGTAAGGAATTAAGGGTTTGGTTCAATTTAGTCTGGTTAATTTTGGGTTTTAACTACTAGGTATGAAGGAGTGTTTATCAGGAAAGTTATTGACGATATCACCGGAAAACTGAAGATGAAGAGCACATCCCTAGGCGGAGCCACCGGGCAATCTGTGCGAGAAATCAGGCTGTTCGGCGTGCCCCTGGTGGTCGATTCCGTGGGGAAGAGCGACAGTCGTAATGGATGATGCCGCGCCAAGGAAAAGCACAGGATATTCCTGCTAGGATTGCAGAAAGTTGGGAGAGGATATTGGAGAGAGGGATCTTAAGGAACTTCGTGAAGACTCGCACACCGCAACCACAATTGTGCCAGTGCTGCTGATATAGCTTCTTTGACATCAAATAATGTCCAATCGATGAAGAGCAAGTACATTATCAAGATAATACATCTCAGTAACATCCGTTGCCACCTCCCCAGCATCCGTGCCTTTGCAATGCTACTGGATTTTTTATGATGCCAAATTTAACACAATTTGACAGCTAGTTACGTACAGAGTTGTTCCTCAATACACTTTCTACATCTTCGTGAACCCGCAATCTGCTTCCTCTTTCAGGATTGCCGAAGGATTCTGCACTCACGATTTCCCTGTCCATGTTTCAAATCATATCATGCATCATCAGATTGCCTTCTCTATCAACATTTACAAGGCATAGCTTATTTGAATGGTTGTCACTTCGATGAAGAACAAGGACCGCGATCATTCAATATTTTGAGGATGTAGTCCTTATTTCCAATTAAGAAACAACATATATCAAGGATTATTATCTTAAACTTTCCACATACATCCCAATGATGCTGTATTTTTTATGAACAGCTTCGTTTGAGAGTTCAAGATATCCTTCATTTCGACAACGATTTCCAAAGGTACTTGAATTTGTTGAATTATCTCAAAGTAATGAAAATACATGTCCTGCTATTGTCGAATACAATTCTATGGCTTCGATCAAGAGGTACCGCAGCAGCTGACAGTAAATAATTCATTGCTTTGCTTGCTTGTGTATAAACCATATTTTCAAATGCAAATAATCCTTTTCTTACTCAATTCCTTTCTTTATTTCTAACAGGGTGAAAAATATAAGGAGACTCCTACTAAACCTCTAGAGTGCCATCGTTGACAGTGGATGCACTTTATGCTCATACAGTAAGTTTGAAGTACATGGCATATTAAGAAACGGAGATTTCAGCAGCTCCTCAAACCCAATTTGCTCTTTGGGTTTTAATCAATGTGTACCATTTTGCTGCTGCCGGGGTCTCTCAAACAAAGTTTAATGACTTCTTATGCATTTTTCAATGGTTCTGTTGATATCCATTATCCAGCGATCGAGATGTCAAACAAACAAAGGATCAGCTGTGTTTGCTGGAACAACTATGTCAAAAACTATCTGGCTTCAACTGATTAGATGTAGTCAAGGTGTGTATATTTTGTGCTATTTCAGTTGTTTTTTTACTGGTAAAAAAAAAAAAAAAAACTGCTTCCTTCTGAATGTTGGCCTCTTAACCACTGCACTTTCTTCCTTGTGATATATGGAAGGGATGATGATAGGAGAATTTTAATTGAAAAATGGATTGCTCTTTGTTGTCGTTTGGTTTTTCTGTCCCAACGGTTTCTAATACATGCATTGTTCGAGTCCTTAAAAGTTAACAAAATCGTAACACGTTATCTGTATTTTTCTGTTGAATATAAACACAAGATTGCTCATCCTATGCGTTTACAACAGTTAGTAATTTTCCGTTCCTTGAAACTCTTTCTTTGGTTTCGTATGGTTCTTATTTAAATGAAAAATTTATGCTTTGCCGCCGATCTACAAATGTTGCTGATTGAACTTGTAATTAAGTAATCTGAGATTGAAGACAATCAGTAATAACCTTGTATCATGTCATTGGTACTAGAATGTTCCAGCTGCCTAATTAGCATGAAATCTCTCCTATCATGTCCGATGATATTTGCGTTGCCAACTTCTGAATATCTTGACTTTCTTGAAACTAATTTATGCCACTTGTATTTCAGGTTCCTTGCCTTAAATCAGTTTAGTTTTCGCGTCTGTGCGCGCAGCTGATCCTCGATGCAGTTGTGAGGGTTGAGAAGAAGATGGCAGATTATTCTGGCTGCAATGCGGTGCATTGACGTGATTGAATATCTGAAACGAAGGCAGATGGATGCATTGACATGTTTGAACAACCATATTGGTTGTGTTTGGTAGCTGAAAAATAAGTTGCTTTTTCTTAAAGCAGGGTCATAAAAAGCAGAAATTGAGAAGGTAGAAACAGCATGTGGTAGGCATTGTCTGGCATTACGAATTACACAGATAATCGCGATAGTCTTGTAACTCAAGTGGTTAAGACTTTACTTCGACCATTTCAAGTCCTGTCTTCGATTCGTTACAACGAAATGCATCATTGTTATTATATTTTATTTTGGTTGCTTACTTTGGACAATTCACCAGCCTACTAATAACACACTTTTGTTTCGTTTACGTGCAAAATTGGGCAATGAAGACTAAACTATAAACACACAATAACTAATTATTAGTCTAGCGATATTTCTCTTTTCAATATTTAGAAGTCGTGAATTTTGTTTTGTTTAATTTGTTGAGGAACAAATGAAATTCATTAAACCGAAGCATTACGAGATGCATCAATATCGTTACATGAAAAAACACTCTTAACCAAAGAGGGCATCTTCAACCCAAACTACATCAACAGCGCACGACATTGCAAAATTGGCAAGTTCGTGAGGAAAAAAAAAAGTGTCATAATTTATAATTGAACGCCGTTGTAGGTATATTTATCAACTACTGCAAACAACTAGAAAGGACCAAAATAATGGACCAAGTAATTAATTGGTTCATTATTTTGGTTCTCGTTTTGAGTCTCCATTTTACCAACTACTGCAAACAACTAGAAAGGACCAAAATAATGGACCAAGTAATTAATTGGTTCATTATTTTGGTTCTCGTTTTGAGTCTCCATCTTACCAACTACTGTGAACAGCCAGAAACAAACCAAAATATATGGGCCCTGCACTGAAAAATAATATATTTGTAGTAGACAACAAAATTTATAATCCCAATTAACAATCAGTAGCTTCACTATATAATCTCAATTGACAATCAGTAGCTTCACGTGGTATTAAACTCGAGTCAGTTATCTCAAGAACAACTAAAAATGCAGGTTCAAATTTCAAATCCTGCCAACAGATTCCAACATTAAGTGACGGTAATGACTCAGTCTAATCATGTTAGTATTGAGAAATTAAAAGGGAAATAAACGGAAGCACTAGAAAGTGGTAGTTTAAGTATCACGAAACGGCTAAACCTGTTGTGTAATTCAACAAGAACAATCAACAAACAATACAAATGGTTAAATGGGTACCTGTTTGTACTCACGGGTAATACAAATGGTTAAATGGGTATCCGTTTGTACTCACGAGAACAATCAACAAACAATACAAATGGTAAATAGTTATACTGTATTTATTTAAAAGGTTACTCAGAACCATAACCATTAAGTTTAAACGGCTGAACAACCGTTGTTACCTATACCCACATATATTTTGCCCATCCCTAACCACAAGGAAGAATGTATAAGAATGAGTTCTATCTATTTGTGACTTTTTGGAGACGTTTGATTGATCAGACTAGGACATCCCATCCCTAACCACAAGGAAGAATATATAAGAATGAATTCTATCTATTTGTGACTTTTTGGAGACGTTTGATTGATTAGAGTAGGACTATAATGAGTTCCACTAAGAGGGATTATCGATAGTGATATTCGAACCTAAACTTTGGTCTAGCGAAGAGAATGACTTTACCAACTCAACCAACCTTCGTTGTCTGCTGATGTAAGTTTTTTTATTTATGATCAATGAATCTTTCATTAACAAAGGAAAAAAGAACCAACCTAACTCAAACCAATTTATACAATTAGTCCAACCAAACTAAGGATTTGTTCAAAAGTGCTTTTAAAATGATAGAAATTACTTTTAAAGAAAATATTTTTAGGATCTAAAACACCAGTTATGTGTTTATTTAAAAAAACCACTTAAGTGTTTTTCCATAGCACCCTTAAGTGTTTTTCCATAGCACCCTTGAGGGGTCTTCTTATCTTTTTTAATTAAAACAAATCATGAATGATAGTCTCCTCATATTGATTTTGCACATTAGGCAGTGGACCAGTGGCAATAATAATATTGATTACTATAAGATAGACTAATTAGAGCATCGCCAGCAGTTCTCCAATGCCCTTGCAATTGGGTTGAATTGCCCTTGGGTTGAAAAAGATGGTTCGGTGGAGACGGACGGGCAAATGGGCCAAGGGCTTTGTGCTTGCGCCCGCTGCATACAGAAATGGACCGAGCGGGGCCCGTCCACGTGCACACCCCAGAGTCAATTGCCACCTTGTTCCTCCAAGCTTATGCCGTTTCAACGGTAAAATGTAATTTTTTTGGCCGTTGCCACGTGGTGCAATCTGGGGCATCTAATATAAAATTTTGAAATTCAATGGTCAAGATTATTCTAACAGTAAAAAGTTAAAAAATATACCAAAAAAATGCTAAACAATTCCCTAATTTTTTTTTTTATATATACTCTACCGTCTTCTTCATTTCTTGTATTTGAAATATATTATTGAAATTAGATAATCATTTTATTACTGAAATTATATTTGCGAATATTGCCCTTGCTCTCGCCCTTCACAAACGGGTGGACTTACACAAAGACAATTATTGTTTAAAGTGAATAATAAAAGCACTTTTATTATTCTTATTTTTTATAAACGAATGGACTTGCACAAAGATAATTACTGTTTAAAATGAGCTCTGAAGTGTATTAGGAAATAGTAGGGACCCAAGAAATCCTACTATCCCATCTCAAATCAAATTACATGCAATTTGGGATATGGCTATGCCTTCTACTACAAAGTGCTATATTATTTAGGCAACTTGCAAAATTACAGATTTCAGAAAAATCGTATCAACATAAAAGGTGCCATAAAAAGTGCTCCAAATGCACGTGTTCCCTGATGCTATTCCTCTTCTTTCCCTTCACGTGACGTCACGTGATATCACACACACCTCTTCCCCCATTTTTTTCTTCTTACAGCTGTCCTAAGTGAGGCTGTGTTCTGTCAAAAAAAAAAACGTGAGGCTGTGACTGGGTTTTTTCCCTTTAAATTTTTATTGTATGAAAAAGGTTTTTTTCATTTAAAATATTGGGGTCAAATTTGTTTGGAAAATTACACCAAACATAAATAGTGAAACAATGTACATCATAAAAATCAGAACAGTAAACAAATTCATTGTGAGAATGTGATATCGCGGATTAGTTTTAGTATTGAACTTCAATTTTTTTATGGTATCAGTGTATGTTGACTTACGTGTAAAAGTTAACGGCTACATGTGCTCCACGTCATCCTGTTTATGTTGTTCGCGTGTTAAGCTTGAAATTCGCTACATATAAAGTGACGTATGATAATATAAGTAAAAGAGTTCCACATTCTAATATTCATCATTTTAAAATCGTAATCCAATTCATTAGAGTCGATAACATATTAGCAGTATGATTCGATTCACAGAAAAATTTGGTGTCGCAACAGGACCCAACAGAACACAAAGCTTCCACAATTTCGACAAGGATGCACCAAACCCATGTGCATGGTTTGCGGACACTTCATTGGTGGTGTGGTGGGGGTGACTCACTCCCGCAGGACCAACCTAAATTCATTCGTGGACCTCAGAGTTCGGACAATAGCCATCATATGCTGGCGGCTGCCGCAGTGCTACACTTTTTTATGCGTCTTGGCTACGTCCTGGCTAGTGTCCTTTTGTTTGCCACATGATCCTACTTTGTAATTTCCCTTGTAACTTGGACAACATCCAAACCCCACCACCCCGCGCCCCCTCCTCCTTAAATAGTCTACTTGCCATGAATTTTGATTGGGAGGTGGAAAGTCTACTCTTTCATTTTCATACTCTCCTCATGTCCTTTTGTTTGTGTGGTCACGGTTAAACCACGTCAACATTTTATATTCCTATTACTTTTTGTTTTATTATTTCTATAAAAAATTAATATAAAATATTGATGTGGTTTAACCGTGACCACACATCACAGGAGGGCATGAAAAAAGTATGGAAATGGGAGGGCAGACAATCCACCTCCTTTTAACATTGTGGATTGCAATTCTCAATTTGTTGTATGTGGATTAGGAGGAAGTGCACCAAAATTCATAACATCGACTCCAAAGGAGATGTCATATTTTAAGTGGAATGTCACGTAATCAAATTTAAAAATAGGATGAAACTCCAACCAACATGTCAATCTTACGTACATTGACATATAAAAGGTGCTGTCAAGTAATTCTTTATTTTATTTTATTAGATCTTGAAAATTTATTTTAATTGATTTCTTTCATAAAAATGAATTCTCCAAATATCATTTATAATAAATAAATAAAATATGAATTGGAGGAAGAGAAACTGTCAGGTCAACCATCAAATTAACACTTGTATTTATCTTTTGACATCTCCACTATTTATTATTTTAGCACCATCACTATTGCGTTGTTCATACAAGGGAAGATTTCGCTCATCACCCTCAAGTGATGATGATGTTTACTACTTTATTTATTATTGTTAGATGATTTTAAATTTTAAGATCTGTCTAGTAGAAAGACAAAATTTTCAAAATTTAAACTTATCTAATAATAACTAGCATTTGCCTACATACTTTGTGTGTATGAACATATTTTTTTAGAAAATGAGAAGGAGAGAGGGAGAGACGTGGGGGGGGGGGAGTGGGATGTTTTTTTTATTTTTATTTTTTATAATATTGGAGGTATTTTAACATTACATATATGTGAGACTTTAATAAAAAATAGTAAAATTTGAACTTGTGAAATTACTTATTGCCCATCATTTTTTTTATGACAAAAGACTACATAATCTTTTCACCCTCTTTTAATTGACAAAATTTTTTTTATTAATTAATAAAAATAAATAAAGTGATAAACTAGATGATCATTTAGAGTGGTAAGCAAAGATGGCTTGATATAAAACCAAATTAGGTGAAACCCAAACCAGTTATTGTAAGAAAGAGCCAACCACTCCATCACTTGTAAAAGGCAAAAACCCAGCGTCACGTACAAATACCTAGTCAATGACATCACCACCCATCATTAAAAAAAGCAGAAAAACAAGATAAACAAAAATTAAATATTTAAAAATATTTTAGACACAGACAAATGCAGGCTTTGGCGGGTTTCCAGAACGTGAAGTTGATATTTGAGCAGAAATCTCACCTCCTTCCCACCTTTTTAATGCTCTTAACCCCTCCATTTACTGCTTATTTACGCCATCTACCCACAAACCTCTCTCTCTCTCTCTCTCTCTGTCTGTTCAGAGTCGGTTTACCTTCTTACCCAAAGATTACTTGCTCCTCCTTCCACCCTAAGCACCTTCTACAGATCCACATCTAGATACTGCACCCCCATTGCCAATATAATATTACCCAACATTTGTAATCTTCTTTTTCATTAAAAACCCACACATTTATGTATTTATATTTATATTTTATTTATGGGTTTTGAATTTTGAGCCTCAAAGGTGTAAACTTTACCGGGTTTATTACTGCTGCCCCTGTTCCCATCACACCCACTGCAATTTTTTGGCGTTTCTGAGAATTGGGTTTGAATTTCTTGACATTTGTAATGTAAGTATCCGTGCGGTTTTAGCCTCTTGTGGGTATTTTATTGGACTTACAAATCATGGGTTTTTTTTTTTGACGGTTTGTTGTTCTGGACAAACAGTGAGTTGGGTTTTTGAAAATTCCACATTTAACTAGGCATTTCTGGTTTGGGAAGTGGGATGCTCTGTGATGCCGCCGTTTTGGGTATTCTGTCAGTCTTTTTGAATTCAGTGTCCCAGAAGCAAGCTGCCATCTGAATTCCCCAGCTTTTTTTTCTTCTTCTGGGCTTGGATCCGGTGTGTTTTCAACTGGGATTTGAAAGTTGTTTCTGGGTTTTCTCTTTTGGGAAAGTCTCTGCCTGATTTTACAAGGTAATGTGCTCTAAATTTGGATTTGACTCTTACCCAAATCGGTTCCCTGCTCAACCTTTTGTTTTCTCTTAGATTACATTACCTTCAGTTTGGCTGCTGAGAAAAGAACACTGATTGGAAAGGGAAAAATTTGGATTAATTAGTTGGATGTTGCTGAATCTGACTAGACCAGATAGGAATCTTAATCTTGTACAAGTGTTGGTCTTAGTTTTGCTTTGACTTCTGTTAATGTTCAAAATTAATGGTGATCTTTTCCTTCATTTACTTGAATTTGATAATGCAGCATGACCTGATCTTCTTTTGGTTGAACCTGCATTTTCGATTCACATTCTGGGTTCAACTTTCGGGAGGGGGAAAAGGGGATCGCCTATCTAACTTCTTGTTTTTCTACTTGGTTTATACGCAATTGTGAGCACTGAATTATGTCTTTGTTTCTCTGGCTTCGTAATTATCATCTACGATATGCATTCTTAGTTTGCGTGATCAGTTACAACTTACCTTCCATTTTTTTTTTTGTGGAAACAATGTGATTGAATATAATTGATTTACAATGGTGCAGGAGAATGAAAGCGTAACCATCAAGGTTCCACAGTTGACTAGAAATAGATAGACTATACAGTAATGTCGAGGATCACTAGGTGGAAGCTTGAGAAGACAAAAGTAAAGGTGGTTTTCAGGTTACAGTTCCATGCCACACATGTAAGTTGGAACTTATTAGATTTACCGCTGAAATTATATAATTTTTATACATTTCTAATATGTATTCACTTCTTATGAAACCCGTGCATAAACTTCTGGACTGTAAGGTGAATAGAATTTCTTTATGTCAATTGTTGAATGATGCATCAGTCAGTGTTAATTAAATATTCTAAGCTGCCAATGTGGATTTGTTCAGTTTGTAAACATTAGGCTTCGTATTGCGACTTTTGGTGTTTGTTGTCTCTGTGTCCCTAGACTCCACTAACATTTTCCTAGTAATTGCCTGAATTTGGGATTCAATTGTGTCGTATGACGTGTAAGATAATCTAAACTCAACCGTAAGATCCATGTAATTAATGCAGGCGTGTAGCTATCATTAGCTGACATTTTATTCAATTGTAGTTTCTTATGGCTAATGACTTAAAATGCACCTAAAATCTTCTAAATTTGTACTTCTCCTATAACATGTGACAAGATTGGGAAATGTGGTTCTATATCTAGCAGCTACAGTCTAGTCTATGGCTGAAAACAATGTTTCTGCATGGTTCAGGTTCCACAAACCGGATGGGATAAGCTGTTTATATCTTTCATACCTGCTGATTCCGGAAAAGCAACTGCAAAAACAACCAAGGCAAACGTGAGGAATGGGACCTGCAAATGGGGAGACCCAATCTATGAAACTACAAGGCTTCTACAAGACACCAAAACCAAACAATACGATGAGAAGCTTTACAAACTTGTGGTAACCATGGTAATACTCCATCCATATTTCTTATATACTAAACGGGTCTCTGCTTCAAAATTCGGTTGATTTATAACCTACACCACCAGAGCAGCTGACTGCAGCCATTATCTTGTCTAAACTGAGTTTAACCTTTTCATTGGCCTATATCTAACTGACATCAGGGTTCTTCAAGGTCTAGTATCCTTGGTGAGACTAATATCAACCTTGCTGATTATGCTGATGCATCAAAGCCTTCGTCCGTTGCTCTGCCTCTTCTTGGATGTGATTCTGGAACTGTTTTACATGTGAGAAACTCTGAAGTTCAAATTATTTGACACACTGTTATCTTAGGGAAGCTATTAGCTTCCAGTAATTAGTTATTACTGGTTGCCAACTACTGTTCGAGACTGTTTAACAATTTTCTTTTGTCTTATTCCATGTCAGGTCACGGTACAGCTGCTAACTTCTAAAACTGGCTTCAGGTAAGCATTAGAACATATCAACCTCTTGCCTTATCTAATTTCAGTTGTTAATTTGTAGTTCTTTCCCTTTCAGAGAGTTTGAGCAGCAGAGGGAGCTCAGAGAGAGCGGTCTACGAACAACCTCTGACCAAAACAGAAATGATGTGTCCACTACTAGAAGAATATCATCTTCTGAAGATGCAGTAAATGAGCAGATGGATAAGGTTAGTCGTTCTCTTCTGTCTCTATTTGCCCCTTAGTATATATGTTTGTTTTGAAACATAAGCTTATTGAAACGAGTATTTACTAATTTTGTTTATCATTTCCTAAACCATTTCTAATTATTAATAAGAGCAAAACCACTTAAAACAAAACAACTTAAACATTAATAGAAGCAAAACCACATTCAATACAGTATTCAAGAGTTGAGACAAATCGAGACAGAAATTACTAAATAGAACGTCCCGAAACTCCAGGTCACACTCAATAAAATAGGAGATATGGTTGGAAAAATATTATTTCAAGCACTTTTCGTATGGATAGTACATCTATGGTCTATCTCTCTCTCTCTCTTTTGTCTACTGTATGCTGGTTACATGTGTATTTATGACATGATTCTCCTTATCTAATCCTCTGAGGTGTGATATGGATGTGTGGAAGATACATGCTGTCAGCTAAAAGAAACTCCTGTCTCTGAATGCGTTTATGCTATGAAAGATGAAATTAGGCTCACTGTTGCTGCTATGATGATGAAGTACTAAAGGGTTGACATTACTAAGGATACTATATTTCACTATGATTTATAACATAGTTCTGTATCTGATGAGAAAGATAGGCCCTGCTTTTCCAAAGTTTTATGGGTATATTCATCCCTTGTAACGTTTTCCATGAGTCAGTTACTGAGAAACTTGGTTTTTCTCACGAACTTTAACTTTTCTTATACTTGTAAGATGTCGAATTATTTGATACAAGGTTATGAGTTTACACAATGCATTATGTGAGTTCTTTTACCATATGGAGTTATTATCTTTGTTATAGGCGTTTTAGATCTGTGATAATATATGCTAATTATTTTCTTCTTTTTTACAGATGAATTCGAAAGTTAGATTCAAAGAACTCTCTCCCCATGAAGAAGGGGCTGGTCTGAATGAAGAGTATGCTGATTCAACTGGTGGATTTGAATATTCTTCCACTACTTCAGAAAGTTTATATGCTGAGAAACATGACGCGTCTAGCACCCATGAAATTGACAGTATTAAGAGTACCACCTCTGCTGATCTAGGGGGATTGCCCCTTAGTCAAAGTCCCGGACAAGAGAAACAACATCCCTCAGATCAGCGATTCTTGGTACAGGGGACCAGTGAGTGGGCTCATAGCTGGGGCTCTGAATTTTCTCCCGATGCTTATTTACCAAATGCTTCTGAGGAAAATAGCAGGCTTAGAGGAAGCTTGGAAGCAGCTGAATCATCCATTCTTGACCTTAAGCAGGAGGTGAACTCTTTACAGGTTCATGCTGATGAAATCGGCAATGAAGCACAAAAATTTGGTCTTCAACTTGATGCTGAAATTGCTTCTGGAGAACAATTAGCAAAAGAAATTTCCACACTGAGATCCGAATGTTCAAAGTTAAAAGAAGATCTTGAGGAGCAAAAAAGTTTCAAACTAAGCATTCCATTCTCCCACAGGGAAACTATTGAGACAGGCCAAGATCGCATTTTTCATGAGTTACGGCTCAGGTGGTTTAAGGGCCTTTCAAGTATGGAGGATAAATTAAAAGGGCTTCAGAGCAAGGCATTATTTGGAGCAAATGAAAGGGACTTCCAGTCCTGTCACTTGGATTTCGAGGCATTGCTTGGTGTTTTGCAAGTTCTCAAACAAGAGACTGGACAGGCAAGTTCAGGGCTGAACGTGACAAGCGTAAAGGCTGATGAAATAAGTTTACATAAAGGTGAGAAATTAGCACTAGGAACGAGGGTGGATGCAGATTCCCATCAACCCGAGGGTGCCATTCATTGTCTAAGTATACCTGGCCTGGTGTCACTAGACTTTGATTCTGTAGATGCTGCCAATGCAATGAAAGGGAAGTTTGTTGAAATTTTAAGAGAGTTGGATGAGATGAAAGCTGATCGAGAAAGCCTTGCAAAGAAAGCAGACCAGATGGAGTGCTACTATGAAGCTCTCATTCATGAACTTGAGGAAAACCAGAGACAGATGATTGGAGAATTGCAGAACCTCAGGAATGAGCATTCTACTTGCTTGTACACAATTTCATCTGCTAACACTGAGATGGAGAGAATCCAGCAAGACATGAACAACGAGCGAAGAATATTTTCCAAAGAAAAGCGTGATTTGGACTCTCTGAACAAGGAGTTTGAAAGAAGGGCTACTACAGCAGAAGCAGCACTTAAAAGGGCACACATGAATTACTCTATTGCAGTGAACCAGTTACAGAAGGACCTTGAATTGCTTTCATTCCAGGTTCAGTCCATGCATGAGACTAATGAGAACCTCATTAAGCAGGCTTTTGAAGATTCTTTGATTCCAATGTTTCAGGGGTGTGAAGAAACAGTGCAGAATAAGAAATCGGATTCAGAGGAATTTCCATCTGCAAAACACTTACAGTGTCAGAATCAATGCTACGGGATAAAGAAACAGCAGTTAGATGGGGATGCATTATCAGATGATTTGAGAAGATCCCTCCACTTGCAGAAGGGCATCTACCAAAAGGTTGAAGAAGAACTTTATGAGGTGCATCTGGTGAATGTGTATTTGGATGTATTGTCAAAGACTCTACAAGTTACTTTGATTGAAGCAAGTGCTGCCTTCGGATTGACGAAAGAGAAAGTGCATGAACTTTCACAACAGCTGGAGCTTTCAACTGAGTCCAATGAGTTGTTGATGCTGAGGCTGCAGACTGCATTGGATGAGATTCGCTGCCTGAAGGAGTACAAGGAAACTTGTAATTCAATCCGCAATGACTTGGTTCTGAAGAATCAAATTTTGGAAGCAGATTTACAAAACGCTAGTAGTGAAAATGGCCTTCTTACCCAGAAGATTGTTGAATGGAAAGGTATGATAAAAGAATATGAAACTTATGAGAGCAAATACAAGGCCTGCACTACTGAAAAATTACAGCTGGAAAATTTGTTGCAAAAGGAAACCCTAGAAAACGGCATTCTTCAGAATAAACTTTCCTCTTTGCAGGAAGAGTTGAAATCTGTCAGAACCGACTTTGATGAGCTAGCTTGCACGAAGGAGGATCTGCAGAATATTGTGAATTTTCTACAGGGTAAGTTATGGAATCTGTTGGCATCATATGACCAAAAGTATAAAAGCCTGGCTCTTTGCGGCGGATGTGTCTGTCAAGGCTTGGAATCCAGAGATTTAACAGGTGTAGTGATGCAAATAGAAGAGCTTCAGAACAATGTATATGGAAAGATTGTCCAAATGATGGAAGAGAAGAAAGAGCTAGCACAAGAAAGAGATATTGCTCAAGAGTCTTTACGCGCAGCAGAGTCTGATAATCTGATCATGAAGCGGAAATTTGAACACGATCTACGAGGTACAGTGGATAAACTAGATGTTTCGAGTGCGCTGGTTCAAAAGCTCCAGTCACGAGTTGAGGCCATGGCAAACAGACCCAAGATTAGCTTTGAAGCTGAAGACAATTATGCACAACAGCACAGAGAGCTTTTGTTTGATCTTGATAATTTAGAATTGGAGCTGCAGCAACTTACTTCTAAAATTGAGGGCCTTGCTGAGGAATTTATGGCATTGGAGAAATTAACTGAAGAACTAGGAAGGTGTAACCTGACCATAGCAGCATTAACAGTGGAAAAAGAAGCTTTGATGGTGTCCTTACAGGATAAAACTGATGAATCTTCCAGGCTTGCTCTCGAGCTTAATAGTTTGCAAGGGAGTTTGCTTTCTTTGCATGATGAGGTGCAAACGGAGAGAAATCTCAGAGATAAGTTAGAGAGTACAATCACAGATCTCACATCCCAATTGAACGAGAAGCATTGCCAGGTGCTAGGTTTTGATCAGCAGAAGGCTGAGCTTGTCCATCTCAAACAATTGGTTTCAGATCTAGAATTAGAGAAATCAAGAGTCTCCCGTCTCTTGTTGGATTCTGAGGAATATCTAAAAGACGTCCGTGAAGAATGTTCTTCCGTTTCTGCTTTAGAGGCTCAATTGTCTGAAATGCATGAATTTTCAATAGCTGCTGATGTTGGATTCACTTTCACAAAAGCTCAATATGAGACAAGGATAGAAGAACTAGAAAGGTATAACTTGACCATAGCAGCACTGTTAGAGGAAAAAGAAGTTTTGATGGCGTCTTTACAGGATAAAACTCAAGAATCTTCCAGGCTTGCTCTCGAGCTTAATAGTTTGCAAGGGAGTTTGGTTTCTTTGTATGATGAGGTGCAAACAGAAAGAAATCTAAAGGATAAGTTAGAGAGTACAATTACAGAGCTCACTTCCCATTTGAATGAGAAGCATTGCCAGTTGCTAGGTTTTGATCAGCAGAAGGCTGAGCTTGCCCATCTAAAACAATTGGTATCGGATCTAGAACTAGAGAAATCAAGAGTTTCCTGTCTCTTGTTGGATTCTGAGGAATGTTTAAAAGACGTCCGTAAAGAGTGTTCTTCCATTTCTGCTTTGGAGGCTCAATTGTCTGAAATGCATGAATCTTCAATAGCTGCTGATGTTGGACTCACTTTCACAAAAGTTCAATATGAGATGAGGATTGAAGAACTAGAAAGGTATAACCTGATCATAGCGGAATTATCAGAGGAGAAAGAAGCTTTAATGGCGTCCTTGCAGAATAAAACTGAAGAATCTTCCAAGCTTTGTCTGGAGCTTAATAGGATGCAAGGAAGTTTGCTCTCTTTGCAAGATGAGTTGCAAACTGAGAGAAATCTCAGAGATAAGTCAGAGAGTAGAATTACAGATCTGGCTTCCCAATTGATTAAGAAGAACAGTCAGTTGCTAGATTTTGATCACCAGATGGCTGAGCTGGTCCATCTCAAACAATTGGTATTGGACCTAGAACTAGAGAAATCCAGAGTTCTCGGTCTCCTGTTGAATTCTGAGAAATGTCTTAAAGATGCTCATGAAGAGTGTTCTTCTGTCTCAGCTTTGGAAGCTCAGTTATCTGAAATGCATGAATTTTCAATAGCTGCTGATGTTGGACTCACTTTCACAAAAACTCAATATGAGGCCGTGATCAAAGAGCTTTGTCAGAAACTACACTTTTCAGATAGCCAAGTTTCTGAAATTCGCAACAATTTCCTTAATGCAGAGAATATGCTTAACAAATGTCTTGCTAGCGAAAGGCATTACCTTGAAGAGAACACCCAATTGATGACAAGTCTCAATTTCATTAAATCTGAGTTGGAAGCCTCCAGTGCTCAAAACAGGATACTTCTTGATGCAAACAGTGTTATGAGGACCGAACTTGAGGAATGCAAGAAAAAAGCTGAAAATACGGAGGATATTTTCCATATGGATAAAAGTCAGTCTGCTCTTGAGGTGGAAAGGCTGGAACATCTTCTAATGACTTCTGAAGAAGAGATTGATAACCTGATATTCTCCAAGGAAGAACTGGAAGTCAAAGCTTTAGTACTCAAAGCCAAGTTGGATGAACAGTCCGCTCAGCTAACCTTGCTGGAAGGATATAAGAATGAAATGGAAATGCTGCACGATAGATGTAGCGAGCTTACACAGAAGCTTGCTCAACAGGTCTTGAAGACGGAAGAATTTAAGAACTTGTCCATCCACTTTAAGGATCTTAAAGACAAGGCTTATGCCGAGGGCCTCCATGCACAGGATAAAAAAGAACCAGAAAGGCCACCAACTGCTATGCAAGAGTCTTTAAGAATTGTATTCATCAAAGAACAATATGAAACCAAGCTGCAAGAACTGAAACAACAACTTGCTATGTCCAATAAGCACAGTGAGGAGATGCTCTGGAAATTACAAGATGCAGTTGACGAAGTTGAGAATAGGAAAAAATCCGAAGCTACTCATGTGAAGAGAAACGAAGGGCTAGGAATGAAGATCTTGGAATTGGAGTCTGACCTACATTCATTACTTTCTGAAAAGCGTGAAATAATGAAAGCATATGACCTGATGAAAGCTGAAAAGGAATGCTCATTAATAAGCCTTGAGTGCTGTAAGGAAGAAAAACAAGAGCTTGAAGCGTCTTTGCAGAAGTGCACTGAGGAAAAAGCTAAAATTGCTTTAGAACTCACCTCAGCGAAGGATTTACTTGCGAGCAGTTCACCATCTGTAAATTATCAGAGGGGCGCAGAGGAACCTTTGGTTAAGTTTTCTGAACTAGATGGAGCCAATGGTGAAGCATCTCGGCATGAATGCATGAATTCTGTTGATGAAGCAGACCAGTTAAATGTACTCAACAATATAAACTCCAAGCAGGTAATTAACTGTTTTTATGAGGATTATGTATATTAGAGTAATTTGCTCCATTGATACCTCTAATTCTTTGTGCAAATATGTTGCACCCGGATGCTTATGCTAGCCTATATACGTTATGCATTATTCGTTTCCGTCAAGTTTTGGAAAAGTGAACGAAGATTGCTTTTTCATTCTGCCCTCTCTGAAAAGGTGTTTTCAGTTTGCTATTGTTTCCTGCTTTTTTCCATCATAGTGAGTTTGAATGGTTCTTCTGAAGTTATAGTTCTTACTAGTACCAGTTGACAGTGCCACACTGAGTTGCTGCTCCAAATATTACCAAAGTAATAGCATTCCTATTTTATTTAGTGCTGGTCCTTCTCTACCACAATTCAGCCCCCTGCTATCACATTAAACACATTTCCTGGAAAGTATCACCACTAGAGTGAAATTCAAAGCACTTGACGGTGGCTAATATATTTGGTACGACCAGTTACTCTTAGTCCTCGGAGGTTTAAACTACTTGTTCACAATTAATATTGTCAACTTTTCCATGAAATAATGGTGAAATCTAATTACGAAAGAAATTCTATTTTAGTCCAATCAGAAAAAGCATAAGTATGATCTATATAGTATGCTTGCCTAATTAGTTGTGAATGTGTTATCTTTCATAGCTCGCACCTTCTTCTTGTGGCCTTTTCGGACTTTACATAAAGTTCTCTTAGAGACAATCATAATTTGTGCGTAACTTGGTAATTGATTTTCTTAGGCTTCAAAATTTTGAAGTTCTCCTCTCTCTAGCAGAGGAATAGGATAGTCATTTCTCTCAAAGAAAAGGTTTACTATGTTTTATTTTTAGATGTATTATATATAGAAATTTTGGTCGCTGACAATATATGCACGTCATTGGACAGGATGATCTCGTATCCGGAGGTGTAAATGGGATCTCTGGTATAGTACTTTCAAAGCAAAGGGATATTCTTAATAGCGACATGAAGCATTTGGTTCTTGCAAATGAGAATTTTAAGGCCCAAGGCTTAAAGTCTAGCATGGAAAACTTAAATAAGGAGGTATGTATTTCGTATAATCACAAGTGATCAGATGCTTTTGTATTGCTACAGTTTAACTTGTAAAGTTGGGGGGAGCAGAACTGGATAATAATATCTCAACGGTGGTTCTAGAATTTTTGATCTGTATTATCTTGTTGCAGTTGGAAAGGATGAAACATGAAAATTTGCTTCTTTCCGTCGATGATCAACACCTTGAACCAAATTTTCCTGGTTTACAAAGAGAGATTATGCAATTAAATAAGGTAAATAACAACTTATAATATAAGCATGTCCTTGAACTGTATCATGTTTCATAAAAGCATGTCCTTGAACTGACTTCATGTTTCGGATCTTTGATTAGGTAAATGAAGAATTGGGAAATATATTTCCCTCCTTCAACGAATTTTCTTGCAGTGGCAATGCATTAGAGAGGGTGCTAGCTTTGGAAGTTGAACTTGCTGAAGCATTGCAGGCAAAGAAGAAATCAACTATCCAGTTTCAAAGGTAAGTGAGCAAATTATCTATTTCATGTTTAGATGCATGTCAACTAGAACCTTTGCGGCGGTTACGGGTAATGTCTTTTCGGCTTTTCGGCTTTGGTGTATTTTGTGTTTGCATGGGATCATAAGGCCCTGCTAAATTTGTCATTTATGAACCAAAAGAATTTCATAATGTACTTCATCTATTGATTTTTGGACTTTTAGGGACTTTTAAGGGGGGAATAGGTGGTTATTTTAAGTTCAGCAGAACTAGGAATACATGAGTTTAATAATTAACATGACACCCTCCTTTGTTCCAGTTCTTTCGTGAAACAACACAGCGACGAGGAAGCAGTGTTTCACAGCTTCAGAGACATCAACGAGCTAATTAAAGACATGCTGGAGATTAAGGGAAGATATGCTACCGTGGAAACGGAACTCAAAGACATGCATGACCGTTACTCCCAGTTAAGCCTTCAATTTGCGGAGGTCGAAGGGGAGAGACAAAAACTAATGATGACTCTCAAGAATGTCCGAGCGTCAAAGAAAGCCCTACACTTGAATCGCTCCTCAACATCCCCTTTTCTAGACCCTTCGTAATAGTCACGGTAGCCATCCATTCTTGTTTGCGAAGAAATAGCCCTTTATGTGGTTGAGAATTGATGGTCCGACATGCCTTGCTGCGCCATGTTATCGTATACGTGAAAGGTGGATGATGTACGGGCCAGTTAGCCGCTAGCTGTGAAACTTCACGATGTTGAAATGTGGTATTGAAAGCTCAGCAGCAGTGTAAATAGAAACCTCTGCTGGTTTGTGCAACTGGTTTATGGTATCACAGGTACAGAACCCTGTTACGAACCCTTCGTTTTCGGGTTGCTGGGAGAATATGTTGTAGTTCTGCCATATAGTCAATCAATTTTTTTGTCATATTTATTCAAACATCGAAAGATATTGCATTTTCTCCATATACATCCCTTCTACATACCAATTTCATTTGGGAGAGGACGAGACTTGCAAAGAGCACGTAACTCAAGTGGTTAAGAGCATTCAAGACAAAAATCTACAGGTGAATAAAAAAACGCTCTTGAACCAATAAAAAACGAATTCTGCTTTACAATAAGCTCGCGAATCAATCAAATCAATATGTTCGTTGCCTTTTTTTTTTTTCTCTTACACTTGTATTCATTGATGCCAGAAAAACAGAAGAATCTCCTAATGCATTGATATGGTCCTTTTCTCAGTAACAAATCACATGCAATAAGGAACTATAACGCGTTTTACATACGGACATGATAAGATTCAAAGTAACAAAAGTCTGGCTGATGAATCCATGAATTTCTTGATGCTACTTCTGACAGCCCGGTAACTGAGAATTGAACTGCATCCCATCAGCAACACATGAGAAGACACGGAAAACATTAACAGACTGAAGGAGCTCCACGAAGCTTGTTACCAGAAGCTACAATATTGAACATGAACATCGCGGCTGCTCTGGAGAATCATTCATCAATTTATCTGTATAAAAATGCAACTGTCAAAGTGTCAATTCCTTGTTCCGGAACCTTTTCTTTTTTTTTTTGGTAACATAATCCTATATCGAAGCATTACATAACATTAACGTCAAAGCATCGCATATATATCAAGATTCGTATACTTTTCTGCTAGCCATAATTTCATCTACCAAAAATTATTGAAAAGCTACGGATATTGTTTATCTGGGAAGAGTATATATAATAGCAGAATGATAGCACACAGGAAAAACTAAGAAGGCAAGGTATACAACAAGGGAGGGAAAGGACCAGAGGCCCAGTTAAAAAACAAGCATACAAAACAAATACAAATGAAAAAGAGCCTATCCTGCTTTATTGGTTGGAGCTATTACGAAAGACAACACGTTTGCTCAGTTAAGGAACAAACATACAAATAAAGACAAATTGTGTCATGTCATTCAGAAACTGCACTTACGAGAAGTAGCATGAGAAATTAGTTATTGACGTAAGACTACATCCAGATTCTAGCACGTGTGCTCAGGTCAAGAAATTGAGAGGAACCAGAAGCAAGATACCTTGCTGCTGAATTCCTCAGAAAGAGCTATGTTCATAAGAGATTGATGCATAACAATTATGAGTCTTAAAAAAATCGATTGCCAATTGGGGGTTAAACACTCATGAAAACTACCAAGATGTCGGATACTTAGGGGAAGAGGTTAGTCAAGATAACAAACTCAACAAAGAGCATGTGCTACAAGATATATCCAACATAACCGCAAATATTCAGGCTGAAAGAAAAACACAACTGCAAGCAAGTCTAGTAAAACATAAACATAATTACCATTCTTTTTGTCTGCAATAGGTGGGCGCACAACCACGTGCATAGTGATGAGACTTCCAGGGAGTTCACCAACTGGATTTCTGGAGTCAGCAAGTGTCCTGTTGTTTTCCAGTATCTTTCCCGCATTAATAAGCTTCAAATCATTTATTGTCCTTGGACCATTTTCTTTCTCTATCAAACAGATTACACATGAGAAAAAAATACAAGTCAATCTCAAACCAAAGCACAATGGTGCGATCATAAAGCAACCAAAGTTTCATTACTTCTGTCAAAATGTCGGCTTTGTCTGGAATTTTTTCAATATTCTGTTTGCTCAGTGCAAGAGGCAAACACATGATATGTCTAAATACCAACATCAGCAACATATATGCAACAACTACGACTAACATGAACATACACTTTCATAATATATGATTGATAAAAGCAGTGACAATTTCCAAAAACATATGAGTAACTTGACCATACACTTTCAACAACAACTAAGAACTCCGTCATCTGACTAACGTTTTTCAATATTATGTTTTTGGATTATGCTCAAGTTAGTCATCTGTAGAAGCTAGTCATATGTTATAATGCAGTAATAAATAAGTACATTCATAACATAATCCAGAGACATGACTAACTTGAGCATACACTTTCAAAAACGATTAAGAACTCCGTCATAATTCATTTGTATCATTTTCAGACCGTCACCCAAGATTATATCAACACTGAAGGACATAGAGCCTCAAATTTCTTGGACAATGGCACAACAAGCATGATAACATCAACAACAATTTCCTCACAACATTTTCAATACATAACAATAATAATATAGCAACATTATCTTATTTCAACAATTTTGGCCAATATATCATAAAACAAATGTGATATGCAGAAAAGCTCTCAAGAATCCCAACCCAATGATACAAAAAGCAAAAGAACCTCAAAAAATATAAGTTGTGCAACAATATAAAATAAAATAAAAATTTAACAGAAGAATTAATTAGGATAAAAAGAAATAAACCTTTAGGCCATTGTGCAAGTATTTTCTCCTTGAGTGATTGTACAGTGGTAGATGGGCTATACTTCTGAGGTCCTATGTCGGTCCCATCAAATAGCCTGAATTTCAGCTCAATCAAATCTTGACCTGCCGCCATTGATGAACCTTCCAATCCAGTAAAAACCCACCTATCAATTTCTCATACCACTCTCCAAGAACCAGAATAAAATCGCCACAAATGGCAGAATCAAAGAAAACGCAGATCCAATCTGATCAAGATTCACACTTTGATTAAAACCCAGAAGTGTAAAAGCTCAGATACCCATGAAAGAAGCAAGCTTTTTTTATTTTTATTTTATTTTTAATTTTATTTTTAATCGAAAAAGCTTAGATTTGTATTGAAGTTGCAGTAAAAAGACACAAAGTTCCTGGTGATGGAAACCCAAAAGGCAGTGACAGATTAGAAATCTGTGAAATGAATCCAGAAAGAAAGAGAGGAAGAAGAAGAAGAAGACAGCTCCTTTGAATTGCTTGATGTAGAAATTAAGAAAGTAGAAAGTGTGCCTAAAACGATCTGAGTTAGATTTTTCACCTGAATTAACAGAAATTTCAGAAATTGCCCACGTCTTATATTCGTAAAATTACTTTCACTTTTTATGACATGTAATTTTTTGGATGCATTTTTTGATAACTGATAATTGTTATTAATCTACTAAGATTATGGTGTTATTAATCTACAATTGTCATCTATAAAATTTAGAGATACGCATTTCGTTAATATTGAGATAAAATGTGATTTAAGTAGAGTAAATTTTCTTATACAAATGTTATTTTATTTTAAATTTATCCAATTACGAGAATATGGGTTTAAACTTGTGTGTAAAAATAAGAGCACACGGCTTTACTTAAGTTGACCAAATCCATATTTGCACTAAAGATTAGATGGTTAATTAAATAGAAATTGGATGTTATGATACAATTGTCATTCAACTTAAAATAATTAGATTTAATATCTTGATATTAGTGATGTTCATGTCACATCCCAGCCTAGACTCCCATCACATGCTCGGCTCGACTTCACCGTAGCACGATACTGTCCGTTTTGAACCCCGACCACGCTCTCACGGCTTTGGGTCCCGACTTGCTTAACTTCAGAGTTCCCAAAGTGGACAATATCGTGCTACGGTGATGAAGCGGGGCCGAGATGTGATGGATTCTGGGTCGGGATGTGACAGTTCAATTCCACAACTAATAATTCAAAGATAGGAGGATACTTTGTCCAATGTTTTTCGTCTTTGGTTTAGTAGTAATTGTCTTCACTTACGTTAGGTTAAATGTTTCAAATTTGACTCATATGAACGTAAGAATGATATTATATGTGATGAATTTAATACTTAATTATGACTAGACCAATAATTATAACGTAATTTTGTTGTGGTTGTGTTGGTCCGTCTTAAAAGCATTTTTCCTGAAAAAATAGTGGTTAATTTATGGGAGGAAACCAAATAGGAACCTGGTCAGAGATGTGAAGTCAACTTTGAATAATTCAAGTAGTTAATCATATAATTATTATTTTTTTTGTACAATGATATATAGTTAATAAGATAATTATTAAGTAAATGTATTTTCTTAAGTAGCTGTCTTAAAATCTGTTGGTGTCGGTAGAAGTAGGCAGGCCTCTTGCTTCTCCTTGCTTGGCTTTGGTTTTGTTTGGTTGGATGTTAGTGATTTGGTCTCTCTCAAAATCTTTTTGCCTAATTGCCTCTATGGTAGGCAACTTGGCACTATTTTTTAAAGCATGTATTGGGAACATGACGCATATTATTTTTCAACACTCTGTTTTTTTTTTTTTTTGGGTGATAAAATTAAATAAAATTAAATAAAAACAACGAACAAGATTAAACAACGACGTATAAGACGCGAAAAATAGCGTGATTGTCGTTGAGTTGATGTAGATGAATAATCTCTCTGCACTATTAGTGATAGAAAAGATGGATGGAGAATGTTAAATAATGGGGGATTTAGAATCCGGTATAGTTTTAAAGATGACTTGCAAGCAAGGTTCTAAAGATGCTAAATCCTAGTCGGGCAGCGGGTTGCGGCTTAGTGCTTAGACGGTTTGGGAGAACCTAGGTGGATTTAAGTAAATTTATTATACATTGTATAAATAGGTTCTTATTTATACTTCTATGGGGAGACATAAATTGCAAAATAAAATGAATTATAAATTATAAGGTATTAAAACATATTGAGAAATGGGGAACAAACATATAATGGGTGTTCATTAGAGTATTTAACAAATATCTTACATTTTATTTATAAAATGCAAAATGAAAGTTATCAATTTTCTGTATAAGTAAGAGTTGCGACCTAGGCAGGTTAGGCGGACACTTGGGTGGGCTATGCAGAGGCCTAAGTAGGTTTAGGTCCCTTTCTTAATTTCAAATGCCTAGGGATTAATCGGGGCGGTAGCTAGCTGCCTAGTGCCTAGGCGGGGATTTTTAGAACAGTGCTTGCAAGTGGCCCTCTACCACAGTGGTGGAGAGAAGTGTTGCCCTTGCACCACAGTGGTTAGAACCCCTGTCGGCTCCCTAATCTAACATCTAATCTAAAAAATTTATCGTTTGATAAAATTAAAGAAAAAAAGAAAAAGAAAAAAAGAAGATGACTTGAACCATATGTGACTTGGTTCATGGGAAGCATCTAATAATTTTAATGTTTCCTCAACTTCAGTATTTGTCACTTATTATTGAATTAGTCAATGATGTCACCCAAACTAACCTATTCAGATCAAAGTCATGGAAGGCAACCACTTTGAGGATAATGTTTTCTTGGGCAGATAATATTTTGAAAAGTAAATGATGAATATGGACTTGAGACTGGTTTTGGAAGGGCTGCCGACTAAAAGCGTTTTTAGTATGTTTGACAGAAAAACTTAAAAGTTACGCGTCATAAGACTGGTTCATGAAGCACTTCACTCGGATTTTTAATATAAGTTTCTATGAAGTTCTAATAAAGGTACTTGTAATAAAAACGCGCATGAGCATACGTGCTTTGTACAGATGCAGTCCCAACTGTGTTGTAACACTATCTAGTAAGTACTTTTGATAGGGTCGTGCTAAAGTTGTACAACTATATTCAATCAAATTTACATGCTCTTTTTCTTTTTCCTTTTCACCGGCGTACATGATCGAGCAAATGGACACCAAGTTAGGAAGATTCAATGTCGAGGGCAACATACATTATTCTGATATATGCTTATTACTGTAAAGCATGTGCTTATATATGCAAAGTGCACCACTTATCAACTCAATTCAATCTTCGCGCGCCATACAGCTCGCCCGTATAGATTCAATGAAGGGATTCTCAGCCTCGTGCTAAAGATCAAGAACTTGACAGCCAACCAATTCACCTGAACCAAAATCCCGAGTCCCAATGATCTTCCACACAACTGCGTCTGATTCTGCCAGTGCGTCGGAATGTTCATCTGAGGAGCTAGCTAGGAGAGGAGCTAAGGTTGGTGACAAAGAACCCAAATTACTGCACAGGTCAGCACGCAGAACTGCGATTTCATGATTTGCATCTTTTGTGATGACATGAAGTTTTCCATGAAAACCAGCAAGTAAATATGGAGAATCTGAACCAGCAAAGTCATGAATAGGGACTTTTCCTATAACAACTTTCCAAGCATCTTCTCCTTGATCGTACACCTTGATCTTACCACTATCCAAAGAACTCGAAGGATCAAAAGCATACAATTCACCATCTACCACAACGCTCAACTTTGTACCAGCCTGCCGAGCAGGCCAACCATCTCCCATGCCAAGAGGCATTTCATCCCAAGAATTTGTTTCGGGATCATAGATTTCTCCCCCGACATCAACAAAAAAGGGCCATGAATACAGACTCTGGGATACACATAGCCTTCCCATGTAGGGAGTCAACCCGGTGGCAATAGGCCTTAGCATGTCAGTCAAAAAGGGAGTGGGCAGCGCTTGAGCCCTTGAGAATGGCATGCTTGGTACTTCAGACCATGTACCAGTGGAGGGCTCAAAAACTTCAGCAGACTGAAGAGGGATCAATCCACCTCGTTCCCGAGTAACCCCTCCAACAACATAAAGTTTGTTATTCAGAATACCTGTCTTACAATAGGCTCTACTTGCAGACATGGCTGTCACTTCACTCCATGCATTCTGAATTGGATCAAATCTCCAGACGCACCTCACGGTCGTATCTTTATAAAATCCACCTAGAACATAAAGGCATCCATCAACAGCACCAATGGCACAACCACAAAACGGCATTTGTTCAAATGCGTTCTTTCTCCCTAACCAGCCTCTAATAGTATGAGCAATTTTGATGCTTGGGCCCACCATATTCCACATCGAAAACCTAGAAGAACTCTTGCTGAATTCTTCTTCATAAACTACATTGGGAATCTGAGGTAGCCTCTGCCACCTTCTCGACAGGGGATCAAAAGCATGCCAGGAAAGTTTATCCTCTTCAATTTTTGTCAACAAGTACAGCCATTCTTCACTTCTACCAAGTTCTTTTCTCAATTTAAATAGTTCAGAGCTAGTAACAGTTTCCTTCCACTTCCGGGAAACCAGACTGATATTGAAGTAGCAAATTCTAGGGAGCCTGGCAATAATTTGGATCGATAGCTCATCAGGAAGATTGGGAATTAGTCTTTGGCTCTCCTCAAAAGTACATGGTGACATTCTTTGCCTCTTGCAGGTGTCATTCTGAGTGATCTCATGGTACTCGTTTCTCTCAGACTTCGGACCAGCCAAACTCAAAAGAGCCCCCATCAGAAACTGCAAGATCAGTAAATCTCAGAGATCATACGACTCTTTTTAGTCCCACAGTTGGGACCAGCCAAACTCAAAAACAACCACATAGTTAACTTAGCCTCATGGATGCAGAAATTATTCATTCTACTTTCATTTGATCAATTCCAAAACTAAAAGAACACACGCACACCAGAACTGGGATCAGCGAACCTAAAGAAACGAGACCAAATTTGACTTTAATCCAAGTTCTGCAAAATTATTCATTCTACCTTCAGTTCAAGAATGCAAAAGGCTAAATGAACACGCACAAACAGCTACTACAAGCTAAATTCACGAGGCCAGTTCCAAAGTTATCAAACCGGATGCGATATGAAACTTGTGCACATTTGGCTCCAAAGTTAACAAAAGGCATCCCACATGCTGTCGACTGATATGTACTAAATTTCGTGTTGCTTCTCATGGAATAACCCAAAAACATTAACCCCAAAGATCACTGAAACCCCTCCTCCAAAAATTACCTTCACACTCTCCCCCACAAACCAGCATTTATTTTCATCCCAATATTTACAGCAAACCATCACCAATATTTATAGCAAAATTCAACCTTGACGTATAATTACCAAACTACTAAAAAACCCCATGAAAATTTCAGCATAAAAAATTTCACTATTCCAGGAAATGAAAGGGAAATATATACAATCGAGTGAAATTCAGCCTATGAAACTTCGTACAGCTATAGAAATTATAAACTCCCACACAAACAAGTTACAAAATCATAAAAACAACAATAAAAATTGAATCTTTCCACTAAAACCACCAAATTGCAGACAAATTTTGAACAAGGGTAGGTAAATAGTTGTAAGAATTCACATTGATCAAAAAAAAAAAAAAAGGGA